TTGTGTGGGGTCTGGGATGCCCTTGACCTTAAGCCACGTGGGGTTTTGATTCATCTCAAGGCTCTAAACCACCTGCAGCCTCCAAAGGGGCGAGTATTGAACGTTCCTGGGGGGCAGTAGCGCCCTCCCTTGCAAGGTCCTGGGGACAGTTCTGAGGCTGCCTTTCACTTCGACACCCCTCCCCCCAACTTCCCAACTCTGTTCAGCAAGTAGCAGCAGTGGGGCTGAGTCAGGTGGAGAAAGTGGGCAAGTTCAACTCAGCTCCTTTGGGTCTTCCTGGCCTTGTGCGTGTCCTGGGGCACCCCCTGTCCAATCTAGGACACAGCAAGCCGCCCAGCTGACTTCTTCTTTCTTTGTCATCTTAAACGCGGCTGTCCTCCATGACACCACGCCTCCAGCTGCCCTGGCCTGTGCCTGGGATCTCCGACATCCATTTTCTCTTCTGGAAATGAACCCCAGACTATCACCGCAAGTCATCTTATTTGTTGAGGGCTCGGTCTAGAAGAGACAGAATACGTTCTGATGGCGGAAGCCATGGGAAGGCTCCCCGGCTGATCCACGGGGCTCCCCGCGGCTCCTGCCTGTGAGCTGGGCCCCTCCCCACCCGGCCATGTCTGCATCTAGAGACTGGAGTGAACCCTCGGCTTTGCAGTCCCCTGCCAAGTCAGCCCCATTTACACACCCTTGCCCTGCCCCGTCTGGGTCCCCATGCCGGCCCTGTCGCAGCCAGGCTAACCTCATTCAGAATTGTTCTTTTTCCTGGGCTGGCTGCCCGGCAAGCCTCCTGGAGGGGCAGGATTGGGCCAGAACAGCACTCCTTAGGTTTCTAGACTTCTGCCACGGGCCCCGAGCAGGCTCCCGGTGCCCACCGGTGCAGCTCATAGCCAGTGCTCTCTCTGATAGCTCCTGCCTCCACCAGGGTACAGGAGGTGAGTGAGAGCAGGGCCCCCTCTGTCCAAGGCAGGGTCAGCATCGAGTAAAGGCCAGGGCCATTTCCCCAGACAGGCAAGGCCCACGTGGGGCCTCTGCATGTACCTTCCCCGCTTTGGCCAAAGGGTTTTGAGGGATGCCTAAGTGAATGAGCTTTCCCAATTTCCCAAGCGATTTCCCTAGACAGTACCTCGTGTTATCCTCACAACAACCCTGAGAGGGAGGATTTCAGCAGCCCTGCTTTCAATCGGGAACAGAGAACCAGAGAGGTCACCTAGGGAGCTTCCCCCAAGGTCACACAGCAAATGAAGGGCAAGGCTGGAAAGAGCAGCGTGCCGGGGCCCCTGCCCCAGCCAACCCCCCACTCCCCTACCCCCACCCCGTGGCAAGCCGCGGTATATATATGTTTTTTCTTCCAATTCTTCTTCTTCTTCTACACTTTTCTCTACACTCCATCTCCCCTGCTATGTGTGTCTTCATGTTTGTGGGCATCTAACATCCACGTTGTCAACGGCTCCTCCCAACAGGCTGACGGGACAGGGGGTGGTAAGGTGAACGAGATGTGTAGCCTTGACGCATTGCAAGGAGTCACCAATGGCCAAAGACTCTAAGGCGGCTTCTCCTGCTTCCACGTGTCCCCTTTCCAGGTGCACTTGGAGTTCAAGGTTGAGCTTGGTAAGCTCTGTGTTGAGTGAGAGGGCAGAGCCACCCCTGAGCAGGGTCAAAGATCCTTCCCCTGTTCAGAAGACTTCCCCCCTGGCTCCCCACCCTGTTGCTTTAGAGGGAGCACGTACCCCAGGATGGGACAGGAGGAGAGGGGACTCCTGTATCCTGGGTTAAGGGAGCCACAAGAGTCAGCCTAGCCCCTAGGGCCTTCCCAGGGCTGTGCCTTCTTCCCTTGAATTATCAGCAGCCAACTTTGAGCCCTGTGCAGCTGCTGCTAGCCAGGGTACAGACAACCAGGTCCGTGGCAAAGGTCCACGGGAAGTTGAAGAGTCAGGCCCCCCTTCCCTGTCCATCTCGAGGGGGGACTCTGGCTTCTACCACATGCTTTTGCAAGCCACAGATTCCCTCTGTGGCATGCCTCTTGTCTTGCTGGAGTTGCTGTGCGCTATTTTTTTTTTTTTTTTGGTAGTGAAGGAAGAAAGTAAAATTGGGGAATCATTCTGGGTGTGTTTACGGGGATACCTTTATTGCTTTGCATTCACTTGTGTGTCTACTTAAATGCCAGCTGTCTTGGTGCATCAACAGAGGGACATGCCTATTGCCGAAGGAAAAACAGAATTTTCTGTCTGTAGGAAATATTACCAAACCACTAGCACACAGAGAGGTAGTATTTTAAAGGTAAAGCTGTGGCCATGGTAGACTTTTTTTCCTGCTGGAGTTCGTGATGTTTTGTCATCTCATTTTCCAAATTTTTTTTTTTTTTGGTACAAAAGAATTGCTGGTGAATGGTGATAATGCCCTAGTGCTCGATTTAGCCTCATTTTCCAATTAACTCTTCACTCAAGACTCAATGCCACCCTCCCCACCTCCTACCCCAAGGGATGATGGGACAGGATGGCCTCCTTATCATGGTTACTGTTGGCTCCAGACACACAGAAGGAAACTGAGGCCAAGGCCAATGCTAAGACCCAAGGAGGTGAGGGTGTTGAAGGTGACACAGCAAGACCTGAGGGGCAATAAGGAGAAAACAACTGGGCTGCTTTAGCCCACGGCCATTACAGTTGGTGACAAAATAAGCCTCACTCAAATTCCCCTGCAGCTACCTCCTGCAGCCGGGCCCGCCTCCGTTTAAACGGTTTCCTCCCCTAGCTCTGCCTAAGCAGGAAACAAGCTAAAATATTACTCAGCTCAGAAGGGAGAGACCCCAGGTTGTGGAGCCACGTCCCCGCGACTTCCTCCTTCTTTGTCATCTTAAACACAGCTGTCCTGCACGACACCACGCCCCCAGCTGCCCAGGCTCGTGCCTGGGATCTCTGACATCCATTTTCTCTTCTGGAAATGAACCCCAAACTGCTGCCAGAGGAAAAACAGGGGAACAGCCAGTCAAGCCCCGGGGCAGGCAGGGTACACAGCAACAAGACCCGGACCCCGTCTCAAGGCCGCCCCCAGCCCCGCTCCAGTGGCTGCAGAGGCTGGATCGTATCCAGCTTTCTGGAAACATCTGTAGACACCCCTCCCCCCCCACACACCCCTTTTCCAGTGTTTTCATTCCATCATTAGACGGAGTACAGGTGCGACTATGACAACGCAGCCTCCGACAACTTTGAGAGCCCAGTTATTCCCCACTCGTATGCTTCCCCCCAGCTAACCTAATATCCCGGTAGGTCCCATAGGGAGAAACCTCCCAGGGCCTTTCCCCCCTAGGGGACACGGGCTTGGCCCCAGGGTGCTCTGAGGGCAAAGATGAAAAAAGCATAAACATTAGATGAAGGGGGGAGGTGACACACCCAGTGAGTCCTTGTCAAGCCTTCTGATTGACAAGGGTTACCCTGAGGGTGGGGCTGGGGAGGGGTCTTCTTCCCACCTACTGTTTTTTGTTTTTGTTTTTGTTTTTTTTTTTTTTTGACAGGCAGAGTGGACAGTGAGAGAGACAGAAAAGTCTTCCCTTTCCATTGGTTCACCCTCCAATGGCTGCTGCAGCTGGCGTGCCGCGCTGATCTGAAGCCAGGAGCCAGGTACTTATCCTGGTCTCCCATGGGGTGCAGGGCCCAAGCACTTGGGCCATCCTCCACTGCACTCCCTGGCCACAACAGAGAGCTGGCCTGGAAGAGGGGCAACCAGGACGGAATCCAGCGCCCCGACCGGGACTAGAACCCAGGGTGCCGGGGTGCCGGCCCCGCAGGCGGAGGATTAGCCTAGTGAACCGTGGCGCTGGCCCCACCTACTGGTCTTAACCCTTGTTCTACCACATCCAGAACCCCTACAATGGGACTGGGGGCGCCCCCGAGAGGCCCAGCAAAGAACACTGACTTAAAGCCTGGCATCAGCTCTCCCAGGCTGGGCCAATCCCCACCCCTCACCTCCCATGGGCATCCCTTGCCAGCGGGTCTCTCCCACCCCCGACCCCATCCCCAACAAGGGTACAGGCTGAGCCGCAGCAATCCTGGGAGCCAGAGAGCTTTAGGCACTGCAAGGAGCTTCGGCCACGTTTCTGGCCACTGCGCCAGGAATCCCGAGGGTCCATGGAGCTTTTGTTTCTTTTCTTCCCATCTGCCCTCCTTCCCCTGCCCACCCCCCATCTGTACATTAAAAAAGAATAACCTTGCAAAAACTGGTGGGGGGGTTCATGAGGGTCTCTATGGCTGCAAGCCCCTCTACCTCCGCGGAACCCCCTTTCCTCCACCTCCGTTGTCCACTCCAAGCCTCTCCCCTTCCTCTGGGACCCTCCGCCCGACGTGGCCCGAGTTCCTTCGAGACCCCCGCAGAAGGCCCGCAGGCTTCCCGCCCCGGCCCCCGGCCTTTCGCCCGCCATCGTAGTCAATACAAGCCCCCACGCCCTTCCCACCCGGCCCGAGGCCCCCTGCTCCGGGGGAGTTTTTCCCACTGCTTCCCTCCAGCCCCAGAAGCCGGAGGCTCCGCAACAACGGAGGTACCCGACTCCCGCAGGAGCCCTGGACAGAATGGGCTCTGGTCACCGCTTCCTAACGGACTAGCGGGAGACCGTTAGACAGGTGCACGTGACAGCGGTTGCCAACGCAACCTGCACCCAGCATGCCCCGCGCGAGAGGCTGGGCGGGGCCTGCGAGGGCGGTCCCCAGTAGGCCCTTCGTGCGGGGCGGATCTCTGAGGGGGCGAGGCAAGGGCGGAGCCGGCAAGCTTGGCAATTCCCAGGATGCTCCACGCCCAGGGGCGGGGCTCCGAGACCCAGGGCGGGGCTCCGAGACCCAGGGCGGGGCTCCGAGGGCCAGGTGCTGGGCTGGCCTCCCGTGGCCACCTGGATCGCCCGCGCGTGTCCAGTGTGCAGAAGGAGGGCCGAGGAACTATGCCGCAGGCCTGGCGAGAGGCTTGAGTGACGGAGCCAGGTTACCCGGCTGTTACGCGGCCCAGGTGCCGGACCTCCCCTAACCCTGGTAGACGATGAGAGCTGTAGGGAGAGCCTAACTTTATTCTTTTAAAAGAACGTTTTATCGAAATGCAGTGTGCATACCAAGAAATGCACATGAGTGTACAGATAAATGTGGTTGCTCTCCGTTGACCACACTCACAGCCAACACCCAAATTAAGAGCACAACATAGGGCTGGCATTGTGATGCAGGTTAAGACATTTGGGGAGTAAACCAGTGCATAGAAATTCTCTCTCATCCTTAAAAAAAAACATTACCAGTACCCCAAGAGTCCTCACTGTTCCCCTCCCCCGCCATTTACTTTAACGTGCGAAAGAAGAGTGTGCCGTCTTTTACATGGTATGAACCGGTGAAGCAATATTTATCACTAGTTTTTTTTTTTTCTTTTTACAGGCAGAGTGGACAGTGAGAGAGAGAGACAGAGAGAAAGGTCTTCCTTTGCCGTTGGTTCACCCTCCAATGGCCGCCGCGGCCGGCGCGCTGCGCTGATCCAAAGGCAGGAGCCAGGTGCTTATCCTGGTCTCCCATGGGGTGCAGGGCCCAAGGACTTCGGCCATCCTCCACTGCACTCCCGGGCCACAGCAGAGAGCTGGCCTGGAAGAGGGGCATCCGGGACAGAATCCTGCACCCCCACCGGGACTAGAACCTGGTGTGCCGGCACCGCAAGGCGGAGGATTAGCCTAGTGAGCCGTGGCGCCGGCCCACACAGTTTTTAATGCCTATCAAAAGTAAGAGAAAATGTGGTGTTTATCTTGTGGGGTCTGGCTTATTTCACTTTGCGTCCACTGCGCATGTCAGGATTTCATTCTTTTTCGTGGCTGAGTAATGTTCCACCCTGTATCTCTATACCACATTTTCTTTTCCCATCAACAGTTGTTGGACATCTAGGGGAGCCAAAAATTTCTTCAGGGATCACTTAAGTAGTTGTAGTGGGAATGGTGGCAGGTGCAGGGATGTTTGTGGAATGGTTTGAGGTCACTGGGATGAGGTTTCAGATGGTATTGAGGAACAGCATCACGTTCTGTTAGACCAGTGCACGGTCTATGCTTGTCACGTGGCTGCAGATAGCTGGGTGGGCTGTGTCTGCGTGCAGTCAGAACGTAAGAACTTTTCTGGCAGAACAGGCACCAAAGTGCTAAGCATGCAGGGTACTGTGTGAGCACAGAGAAAACTAAATGTGGCATGTAGAATTAGGAGAGAAGCAGGGGCAGGCATCGTGGGGCAGCAGGCTAAGCCACCACTCGCCGCACCTGCATCCCACAGCAGAGCCCAGGTTCAAGTCCTGGCTGCTCCACTTCCAATCTCCCTTCCCACTAATGCGCCTGGGAAAGCAATAGAAGATGGCTCAAGTCCTTGGGTCCTTGTACCCACGTGGGAGACCCAGACGGAGTTCTGGGCTCCTGGCTTGGGTCTGGCGCAGCCTTGGCTTTGCAAACACTTAAGGGATGAACCAGCGAAGGGAAGATCACACTTTATCTCTCTCTGCATTTCAAGTCAAAGGAAATAACCAGAAGGAAGCAGAACAGAAATACTTGGAAAACTCTCAGCCTGGCTAAGTAAAGAATACTAAGGAGAGAATACTACGGGCATGGCCAAGTGACCGTCTGCTAAAGAGATCAGCACAGACGGAGAGAAGCCAGGTGCTACTCGTCCCGACACTGAGGGGCACGTGCTTGCGCAGGAAATCAGCCAAGGCACCCGAGTCCCCCACGGCACTGCCTGGGTGGGAATTCTGGCCCTTGTTCCTGACTCCAGCTGCCTGCAAAAACAGACCCCAGGAGGCAGCAGAATTCCTGCCACCCATGCACGGGACACCCTGAAGCTCTTGCTTCGGTCCTAGCCTAGCCCCAGCCATTACAGACGCTTGGAGCGAGAATCGGAGCTGGGAGTCATCTCTCTCTCAAAATAAAGTGGCACTGGGATGCCAGACATGGCGGCTCCACTGGGCTGTGTGGTCTCGTGGCAGCCACTGGGGAGCCCACCGCAGGAGCCCCAATCCCCGCCCCCGCCCCGGGCCAGGCTTCCCGTCTTCAGCCGGTGCCAGGTGCTCTGAGACCTAACCCCAGGCGGGTGAGCTGCAGTCACCATGCAGGCATAGTTGGAGCTATTGCAAGGGCGCCGGTCAGGAAGAAATTGCAACTGGCATAGACAGGGGTTTCCAGAAGCTTCTTGACCTTGCAAGACAGAAAGAACGTTTATTCCTGAAAGAAAAAAAAATAAAAGGACGTCACAGAGCTAAGGAGTGGATGGATGGCAGTGGAGACGCTGGTGAGAGAGAGAGAGGTCTTCCATCCACTGGTTCACTCCAGAACAGTGCTAAGTCCTGAGCAACTTCTCTCCAAAGAATGTTCCGTGCCCAGTGGCATTCAAAATCTTCTTGCCAATAACTGTAATGTATCGTGCGTGTGTACATATTATATGTCTGCATGGGAAAATTTATTAACAGCTCTATTTTAGTTGGCTTACACTTAGATTAAGAAATATTTCCAACTACATTTACTCTTTAAAATTTATGGAAGACACCGGACCTTTTGGTAAATGTTTTCCTAAGTTATTTGGCAGCTAAAATGATTTACTAACTGTCACTTGATAATAACCCATCTGGGAAGCCTGACTTGTTCCCTCATATCTTTATCCTCTTCAAAACTGATTCTACACTGAAGGATTCTCCATTAGGATGTACAGTTTGATCTTTAGACTTCATGTAAGACAATTTGCATAAGGTGGTCATTTCTTTTTAAGATTTATTTATTTATTTGAAAGTCAGAGTTACACAGAGAGAGAAGGAGAGGCAGAGAGAGAGGTCTTCCATCTGCTGGTTCACTCTCCAGGTGGCCGCAACAGCCGGAGCTGCGCTGATCTGAAGCCAGGAGCCAGGAGCTTCTTCCAGGTCTCCCACACAGGTGCAGGGGCCCAAGGACCTGGGCCATCTTCCACTGCCTTCCCAGGCCCTAGCAGAGTGCTGGATCAGACGTGGAGCAGCTGGGACTCAAACTGGCACCCAAATGGGATGCTGGCACTGCAGGCATGGTTTTACCCACTATGCCACAGCGCCGGCCCCTGCAACCCTGTCTGGATCACCAGTCCCTACTCCGCCCCTACTCAGCTTGAAGAACTCAGCTCCAGTCCTTGTCCAAACTCGTGACAGCAGCCAGGGTTTCCATAAGCAGAGAGAGGCAATGGGGGAGCCCAGGACTAGAAGCCGGCATCCGCCGCACCGCTCCCTGCCAGTTCGTACACACTAAACAAAGCAGGGGTGTGCTTTCTCTGGCAGCCAGGCAGACCTCCCCCTTGTTGTCATTTTGGCCACCGTTTCTGCCATGGGCAATGTCTCTGATATCTCCTTTTATCCTCATAATCATAGTGCTCCCATTCCTGCCAGCTATAATTAACATATTTCCAAAGTCCCTCCCCTTTTTCCTTATACATGCGATGACACTGACAGATTCTTTTTTATTTTTTATAAAGATTTATTTATTTATTAGGCAGAGTTACACAGAGAGAGAAGGAGAGGCAGAGACAGAGAGAGAGAGAGAGAGTCTTCCATCTGCTGGTTCACTCTCCAGATGGCTGCAATGGCCAGAGCTGAGCCAATCTGAAGCCAGGAGCCAGGAGTTCCTTCCAGGTCTCCCATGCAGGTTCAGGGGCCCAAGGACCTGGGCCATCTTTCACTGCTTTCCCAGGCCATAGCAGAGAGCTGGATCGGAAGTGGAGCAGCTGGGACTCAAACCAGCGCCCATATGGGATGCCGGTGCTGCAGGCTAGGGCTTTAACCTGCTGCGCCATAGCGCCAGCCCCATTCACAACTTTTCATCATTATGGTTTCCAGTGGTTAGGTTAGTTTACAGGATCTCAGCAGAAGAATGACAATAGTCTGAGAATCCAGGGAAAGAGGTTTTGGCTGTAGGCCTTTCATGATAATAACCCTTCAGTGGCAATTTAGAAAAATATCTGGCCAGTGCTGCCGCGGCTCACTAGGCTAATCCTCCGCCTTGCGGCGCCGGCACACCGGGTTCTAGTCCCGGTCGGGGCGCCGGATTCTGTCCCGGTTGCCCCTCTTCCAGGCCAGCTCTCTGCTGTGGCCCGGGAGTGCAGTGGAGGATGGCCAAAGTCCTTGGGCCCTGCACCCCATGGGAGACCAGGATAAGCACCTGGCTCCTGCCATAGGATCAGCATGGTGCACTGGCCACAGCGGCCATTGGAGGGTGAACCAACGGCAAAGGAAGACCTTTCTCTCTGTCTCTCTCACTGTCCACTCTACCTGTAAAAAAAATATATCATGGGCCAGTGTTGTGGCACAGTGGGTTAAGCCACCACCTGCAACGCTGGCATCCTATATCAGAGCAACCAGTTCAAGTCTCAGCTGCTCCACTTCCAATCCAGATCACTTCTAACACACCTGGGAAAGCAGTGGATGATGGCCCAAGTGCTTGGGGCCCCTACCACCCACACGGGAGACCCGGATGGAGTTCCTGGCTCCTGGCTTCAGCCTGGCCCAGCCCAGGCCATTGCAGCCATTTGAGGAGTGAACCAGCAGGTGGAAGGCCTCTCTCTGTCTCTCCCTCTCTCTCTAACTCTGCCTTTCAAATAAATAAATATTTAAAGTGAGGGCGAAAAAGAGAGAAATGTTCTGACTCATGGATTTGATTCAAAGGGGGTGGGGGCTGGGTCACAGGGCTGCTCCAGGTAGCTGTCAGTGCTAGGGGCTATATTTTATCCTCTTGTTGGACAAGGCTTTCCTGCCTCTTGTTAGCTACCGTCTCTGCGCCTGGGACGTTACTTCATTGCCTACTGAAGAGCAGGACTTGTGCATCCTATATTCTCCTCCCAGCTTCGAGCTCCCCACCTGGCTTCCATGCCCTGCCCCCCGCCTCGCCCTGGGAGCTGAGGGGTTTGGCTCCATCCCTGTGCCGTGGCTGTGCTGTATGCCCTGGAGCGCCGGCTGTCATTCTCTTGAGCAGATGCAAACCATTTTCCTTTCTCTTTCAAGTTCATTTCCCAGTGTGTTTGATATTTAGGGCATGGTCCTGTGATCACCAGCCTGAAGCCATTTTTAAAAATGATCTCTTCACTTATTCATTTGAAAGGCAGAGTTACAGAGATAGAGGGAGAGTTCTTCCATCTGCTGGTTCACTCCCCACATGGCAGCAACAGCATGGGCTGTGGTGGGCCCAAGCCAGGAGCCAGGAGCTTCCTCCAGGTCTCCCAGGTTGGGTGAAAGGACCCAAGCACTTGGGCCATCTTCTACTGCTTTCCAAGGCCACAGCAGAGAGCTGGATTGAAAGTGGAGCAGCCGGGTCTCGAACCAAAACCATAGGGATGCCGATGCTGCAAATGGACACTTAACTCACTGTGCCACAGCACCAGTCTCAGATTGGAGTCTTTTTTTTTTGGACAGGCAGAGTGGACAGTGAGAGAGAGAGAGACAGAGAGAAAGGTCTTCTTTTGCAGTTGGTTCACCCTCTAATGGCCGCCGCGGCTGGTGCGCAGCAGCCAGCGCACCGCGCTGATCCGAAGGCAGGAGCCAGGTGCTTATCCTGGTCTGGCCTGGAAGAGGGGCAACCAGGACAGAATCTGGCACCCCGACCGGGACTAGAATCCGGTGTGCCGGCGCCGCTAGGTGGAGGATTAGCCTAGTGAGCCGCGGCGCCGGCCTCAGATTGGAATCTTGTGCCTGCAGCTGTCTAGGGTGGGAGTCACACACTTGTAGCTCTATAGCTCCAGGGTCTCAGGGGTGGCCTCCCTCCCATGGCTCCAGCAGGCACTGCTCTCCTAGGGGCTTGCTGTGGAGGCTGTGCCCCTGTGACAGGTCCCTGTGCTGGCCCCCAGGCCATCTGACACTGCTCTGAGATCTAAGTGGAGGCAGTCCTGGCCCCGCAGCTTGCACGAGCGGGAGCTGGGCCACATGTCGGGCTTCAGACCATTGATCGGAGCCATGGTGGCTGAGAAGCAGAATCCAAACGAAGAGGTCCCTCGGGCACCTGTCTGGGGCTTTGCTCATTCTTTCTCTTTTTAGTTTAAAGATTCATTATGTTTTTATTAGAAAGTCAGATTAGAGAGAGAGAAAGAGAGAGAGAGAGAGAGGTCTTCCATCTGCTGGTTCACTCCTCAGTTGACTGCAGTGGCCGGAATTGCGCTGATCCCAAGCCAGGAGCCAGGTGCTTCTCCTGGTCTCCCATGCGGGTGCAGGGCCCAAGCACTTGGGCCATCCTCCACTGCACTCCCGGGCCACAGCAGAGAGCTGGATCGGAAGTGGAGAGGCCAGGACTCGAACCAGCGCCCATATGGGATGCCAGCACTGCAGGCGGCAGCTTTACCGGCTAGGCCACAGCACCGGCCCACGATGTCGCCTCTCATGAGTGGATTAATGTCAGTCGTGAGTTTAGGCTCTTGTACCCTCTCGTCCTCTCTTCACTCTTCTGCCTTCAGACATGGGATGATGCAGCAGCCATGGGGTTGCTGGAGCTTGGGGCCCAAAGCCAAGTTACAGGGCTTAGGGGCAGCCGAGTGTTGCAACGATGGTAGAAGCTTGGCACTGATGGTTTTAACCGTCTGATGAGCAGGAAGACAAATACGTGCGGTTAAAGTAAATCTTGTTTTTAAAAAAGCCAAGGTCCGGGGTCAGTGCTGCACCCACGTGGGAGACCCGGAAGAAGCTCCCGGCTCCTGGCTTCAGCCTGGCCCAGCCCCAGCCATTGTGGCCATTTGGGGAGTGAACCAGTGGATGGAAGACCTCTTTCTGTCGGGCTGGGGTGGGGCTAGGCCGGACCTGGGCGCGTCCCCATTGGCTGGCCCCCAGAGGGGCGGAGTCTGAGCTCCGTTATCTCCACGTTATCTCCACAGCGCCTGAGCAGCTGCAGCTGACAGCTACGGTCCCTGCTGCTTGCGCTCTCTCGCCACCGCCGCCATGGGCCTGGAGCTCTACCTGGACCTGCTGTCCCAGCCCTGCCGCGCCGTCTACCTTTTCGCCAAGAAGAACGGGATCCCCTTCCAGCTGCGGCCCGTGGAGCTGCTCAAAGGTGGGCCAGGACTGGCTTCCCTAGTCCCCGAGTGTGGCCGGCCACCCACGCTCCTGGCTCGTTGCAGTTAAATGCACGAACCCCTGCAGCCCTTGAGACCGGCCACTGTGAAGCCATCCCTTGGAACACTCGCGTCCCATATGGGGGTTCCACTCCAGCCTCTGCTCCCCTTCCAGCTCCCTGCTAATGACTCCTCGGGGGCAGTGGAGGATGGCCCGAGGGCTTGGGTCCCTGCCACCTACGTGGGAAACCCAGATGGAGTTCCTGGCTCCTGGCTTTTGTCCTGGCCCAGCCCTGGCATGTTCCAGACATTTGGGGAGTGAAGCAGTGGATGGAAGATTCATAACCCCCTTCCCCTCTGCTCTGCATTTCAAATAAAATTGAGAGAGGGGAGACAGAGACAGACAGCGATGGGAGAAGCTGAGTCTTCCCACCCCTGCTGAATAACCTCTCCACCTGCCCACTGCACCTGGCTGTGCTAAAATCCCTTAGCTGCTCTAGAGAGACCTGGCCTGGGAGACCCACCCAGGGAGTGGGGCTGACCCAGCCCTGGCCCCAGACCCTGCTGTTTCTGCACCCGGACTGGTGCGTGGGACTCCAGTTGGGGGTGCGGGTGAGGTGGGGGTGTGGCACCGGCCTTGCACCCCTGTTTCGGCTTCTTCTTCCTCCTCAGGGCAGCACGTGAGCCAGGAGTTCTCCCAGGTTAACTCGCTGCACAGGCTGCCCACACTTAAGGATGGAGACTTCGTCTTGAGTGAAAGGTGCCGTCTGTCTCTCTGACCTCCTGCGCCCCACACCCACTGGCCCCTGGCTCCCCCAGCTGTAGGCCTCCTCAGATGCCACGAGGCAGGCACAGAGGAGTGAGGGCCACAGAGGACAGCAGGCAGCCCAGGTGGCGGGTGAGTCTAGGATGCCAAAGAGTGTCCTGGCCTGGCCCCTTGTGAGCTCCCCCCACCCCAGCAGGCCGGAGAAGGACAAGAGGCCAGGTGCTCAGGCCCCTGCCACCCACGTGGGCAATCTAGAAGAAGCTTCTGGTTCCTGACTTCAGCCTGGCCCAGCCCTGGCTGATGCAGGCATTTGGGGAGTGAGCCAGTGCATGGAAGATCAGTCACTCTCTCTCTGCCTTTCAAATAAGATGAATGCAAATAATCTTTTTAAAATAAAAGGCCAGGAGCCAGGGTTCTTACAGCCACCCCTGTCCCCAGCACTGCCATTATGATCTACCTGAGCTGCAAGTACCAGACTGCAGACCACTGGTACCCCGAAGACCCGCAGGCCCGTGCCCGCGTGCTGGAGTACCTGGGCTGGCACGCCGACAGCATCCGCGGCACCTTCGGCGTGCCCCTATGGAGCCAGGTGAGACAGCCGCACCTGCGGGGAGCTGGCGGGGGGCGGGGCCCACAGGCTGAGCCCACCCCGTGTCCCCGCCAGGTGCTGGCCCCACTCCTTGGGGTCCAGGTGTCCGAGGAGAAGGTGGAACGCAACAGGACCAGCATGAAGCAGGCGCTGGGGCGGCTGGAGGAGACCTTCCTGGGGGGCAGGGCCTTTGTTGCCGGGCAACAGGTGACGCTGGCCGACCTCCTGGCCCTGGAGGAGCTGATGCAGGTATGAGCTTGGCTGGCCAGCAGAGGCTACCCCGAGTGGAGCGTAACCCAGAGGCGCGGAGACAGCCAGAGTCTGCTGTTGCGCCTTCCTCCTGGGCATGGGCTGGGGAAGGGACCGGCGTCTCCATAGCTGTCCCGCTTTCTTTCCTGCAGCCTGTGGCTCTCGGCCACGACCTGTTTGAGGGACGGCCCCGCCTGGCGGCATGGCGTGCACGTGTGGAGGACTTTCTGGGTGCCCAGCTGTGCCAGGAGACCCGCGGCCGCATCTTGAGTATCCTGGAACAGGAGGCCAACAAAACAATCCCAGTGCCACCACCAGAGGCCCACGAGAGCATGCTGCTTCGCATTGCCAGGATCCCCTGAGGGCGCTGCCCAGGGCCAGGAGATTAGCAATAAAGGCTCATTCCAATTCTCACTTGCCCTGTTTCCTGGTTCCTGTTTCAGGCAAGACACCAGCTGTCCTTAGCCACGCTTCTTCTCTGGTGCAGCATACCTAAGCAATAGGAGACTAAGGTTCACAATATATAAAGAGCTCCTAAAAATCAATAACACAAAACAAAATCAATTAAGACTCAGCCAAAGCCATCAGTGGTTGAAATATAATGAACATCTTGAAAATTTTTCTAAAAAGATTTACTTATTTGAAAAACAGAGTTACGAAATGGTAGAGACAGAGAGAAGTCTTCCATCTGCTGGTTCACTCCCCAGATGGCCTCAATGGCCGGAGCTGTGCCAATCCGAAGCCAGGAGCCAGGAGCTTCTTCTGGGTCTCCCATGTGGGTGCAGGGTCCCAAGGACTTGGGCCATATTCTACTGCCTTCCCAGGCCCTAGCAGAGAGCTGGTCAGAAGAGGAGCAGCCAGGACCGGAACCAGCACCAGGGCTTTAACCCGCTGTGCCACAGTGCCAGCCCTGTCCTGAACATTTTGAATAAGGAACCAAGATTTATTTATTTATTTCGAAGGCAAAGTTACAGAGAAAGAGAGGGAGAGATCTTACATCTATTGCTTCACTCTCCAAATGTCAGCAACGACCAGGGCTGGACCAGGCCTGGAACTCCACCCGGGCCTCCCATTTTGGTGCAGAGGCCCAAGGCCTTGGGCCATCCTCAGCTGCTTTCCCATTTGCGTTAGCAGAGATCTGGATCCGAAGTGGAGCAGCCTCACCTTCCCAAGGTGCCCAGGAGGTCTTGTGGCTAATGTGGCTGCAATTCTAAGATGCAGCAGTAGATATCACTGTTCCCCCATAAATAGAGACGTTAATGCGCTCTGCTCCTGATGGGCTAAAGTCTACAGTTCACCTGTGCCCAGCCTGAGCAATTCCTAGCCTGGAGCATCCTGGTAGCAACCACACTGCAGCTGTCCTGCAGCTGTGGGATTTCCCTCTGAGCTTCCATTCCTGCTGCCTCTCCCTGTCGGAGAGCCCTCACGTTTAGCGGAAACCCTAGCTTGCCTGACCCAGAGCTGTTCAGGAGTGTGAAGGGTGCTGGAAAGAGACAGTGGGATGCACGCAGACGGGCCTTGATTTTATTATTGTGAATCATCATTATTCATATCTTTTCATTTCATTTGAAAGACAGGGAGACAGAGAGAGATGGACGGGCAGATAGACAGACACACAGATCTCCTTCATCCACTAGTTCACTCCCCAAGTGCCTGCAACAGCCAGGGATGGGCCAGGCTGCAGCCAGGAGCCAGGAGCTCCAGTCTAGTCTCCCACAAAGGTGGCAGGGGCCACACCCTGGTTTCTCAGTGACTCCACCTGCAGGTACCTCGGGTGTCGCCTCTGTGGGCCAGACAGGGCCACCCCCTGTGCCTCTGTCAGAAGGTGACCAGACCCCTCCCCGTCTTCTCTCTCACATCCAGCGGCTGTCGCTTGGCCCCGGGCCTCGTGTGGGAGGGAGTCCATGGTGTCACTGTCACTTCCAACTGCACCGGTGTCCCTGGTGTGGGGCCCTCAGTGCTCATGCACCTGCGTCCCCCAGCCCTGTAGCACTGAGCTGTGAAGTGCTGGAGGGGCCGCCGTGGCCGCAAGGGTGGTGAGAGCAAGGCCTGTGTGTGTGTGTGTTTAGAATGGGCAGGGGACACATGCCCACAGGTCGCATCCGCTGGCGAGTTTCAGTTGCCATGAACCAGCTCCAGCTCCCCTTTCCCGCTTCCTGCTACTGCAGACCTGGGAGGCAACAGGGGATGGCTCTGGTACTTGGGTCCCCTGTCCCCAACGTGAGCGATCTAGAGCTAACCCTCAGCCATTGCAGGTATTTGGGGTGGGAACGCTCTGTCTCTTTAAAAAAAAAACAGGGTGGGGAAGGCCTGTGGCTCCTGCCCCCCCCCCCCCCACGCGCCAGGAAGGTATGGCCAGAGGGGCTCCCTCCACCTCAGATTACACCAGCATCTTCCCGGGAGGCCTTGGCTGGGTGCCCAGGAGGCCAAGGGCAGCTCTGGCTCAGCGCTGGCTCCGGCTTCGCAGGCCCTGGCTCCTGATTCCACCCCTGAGCTGGGCTCCAGGTCCGCGGACATGGCCAGAGGGGCAGTGAGCCGACCACCCAAGAGGCAGGGCCACCTGTGCGCTGAGGACAGGGCGGGGGGTTGCGGCCAGAGCAGGGTCTAGAGAAACCATCAGTTGCAGACTTGAGAAATCCCCTCTGGTGCCTGGAGGGGACAAGGCTGGGAGACCCAGGAGGAGCCCGGAGAGGGGACCCAGAGGCTGGGCTGCAAGCAGGAGAGACGGCCAGGCCTTGGGATCAGAAGTGCAGTTGTGGGCTGGCCTTGTGGTGCAGCATGTTAGCATCCTGTGTGGGTGCTGGTTCGAGTCTCAGCTGCTCCGCTTCTGATGCAGCTCTCTGCTAAAGGGCCTGGGAAAGCAGCAGAAGATGGGCCCAAGCACAGAGGAGACCTGGATGGAGTTCCAGGCTGCCGTCACGTCCACGCGTGCGCCCTCTGCTTGCCCAGGACAGTGGGTTCTGTCCCTTTTCTAAGCCACGGTCTAGAGAGACAGATTTCCCAGGATCCCCTGGCACAGGGGGCGTGGCCCTCGGGCCTCCCCACGGTCAGCCAGCAGGTGCATGGTCTCTGGCTGCCACAGTCCCAGCTCCAGGCTGGGAAGTTTCTGGGCTCCTTGCCTGCCTTGCCCCTCTGCTGTGATGGTGTCCACAGTGCCCACGGAGCTCCCCCAGGCCCTGTGTGTGTCTCCATGTTCTAGCCACAGTTGAGGCTACCTCCCCGCCCACCCGCCGCCGCCCAGTTCCTATTTCTAGAACCTTCCACGGTTGGTTCTCATCGCCTCCTCCTCTTGTGGACAATGCAAAGCGCCTTTCCCCCGTCCTGCAGGGAATTCCCAGCACGGAGCTGTGAGGCAGCGCCAAGGGTCGCAGCTCCCACCCCCACCTCTTACCAGCGTCTCCCCACCCCATCCCCGCCCCGCCCCCCACCCCTCACCAGCCTCAGAATCCTGCTGCAGCGAGAATTCCGGGCTTCCTCACCTTGGTGACAGCACCAAGGGAGCCAGGAGGTTCTGGAACGTAGGTGGGGGCCAGGGCCTGGGCCGCAGAGGGCACAGGGCCAGGGGCTGAGGCTGACAGAGGCTGTGGAGCCCGGCCCGCGTCTCAAGCATGGTCCTCGAGCTCTACCTGGACCTGCTGTCCCCGCCCTGCCGCGCCGTCTACATCTTCGCCAGGAAGAACGGGATCCCCTTTGACTTCCAGTTTGTAGATCTCCTCAAAGGTCAGCCTCCGCACGCATGCGCAAGGCTGCCTTGGCGCGGGGCGTGGCGGGGGGGGCGCGGTGGCTGGCCCCGGGGGAGGTGGGACACACCGGCAGGGACCACGGCAGGGACCACGGCCACCCCCACAAGGGTCACAGCGGGAGAAAAGGGAACGGCGGGGGCGCCGGGGCGGGGAGGGCTTTGGGCTTGGCAGGTCATGGGTTTCTCCCTATTGGAGCCCCTGGATTTGGATCGCAGCTCTCCTGGAAACTCCAGCCTCCTGCTAACGCACACCCTGGAGGCAGCAGCGATGGCAAGAATAGTTGGGTCCCCACCGCCCACGTGGGAGACCTGGGTGGAGTTCCCAGGGCCTGGCGCAGCCCTGGGCTTTGTGGGCATTTGGGGATTGGATCAGTGGATGGGAGAACTTGCTCTGTCTGCCTCTCTGTCTCCGTCTCTGCATTTCAAACAAATTAAATGCATTTTTTTAAATTGTTAAGAAAGGTCTCGCCTGCCTTAGCCAGTCCCTGCTAGTGACAGTCCCCACACTGAGATGGACAGGTGCAAGGGAAGGAAGGGCTGCCGGGGACTCCGCAGACTGTCACTCAGAGCCCTTGTCAGTCATCTGTAGCACCTGCCGGCCAGGTCGGGCAAAGGCCACAAAAATGCACAGTCATTCTACGTATGAGAATGCTCAGGCCACACCCCGAGTTTAAGCTCACTCAGGGTTACAGACTCTTTGTGAGGGTCAGGGTCAGAAGGCTACGACTCCACACAAGGTGCTTTCAAAGCTCAGCTTGCAGGGACAGAAGCTTCTAGAAAATAGGGTAGGAACGCAGGGGCCGCATAAAAGGATATGTGAGGAGCCCCCAGAAACGTTTCTCCCTAGAGGAAGCGGGCTAAGGAAGAGTTTCAGCTTCTGCCCCCATGTGCTGTCCAGATACCTGCTCAGAGAGATGCCCACAGTTGCTACTGAGAGGTTCCCCTTTGGACTTCCGGCCGTGTGCTGGGCCCCTGCAGCTGCCCTGCTGCCCTTAGAGGGGAGGACAGAGTGAGGGTGACAGCCTCAGCCCCTGCGACTGGGGTGCACTCACCAGGCCCAGCCACAGGGGGGAGCCATGGAGGCCTTCAGCTCCTGGAAAGCAGGGCGCCATCCTGGTCCTCCCATCACAGGGGTCACCGAGCAAGCCTGCGGTGGGGTAGGAAAGCGGAGGCCCCTGTCCCCCTACTGGCTTTGCTCTGTGATCTGGAACAAGCCACAGTGTTCCTCAAGTCCTCCGTTTCTGCCTCTGGTGGATCCCTGCCCCCCCCCCCCGCCCCAGCCTCCGGCCCACCCCCCACCTCCCAGGGACCCAGGAGCCTCAGACTGTCCCTGTCCCTTCTAAGGTCACCACCACAGCAAGGAGTACATCAACATCAACCCCCTGAGGAAGCTGCCCTGCCTCAAGGAAGGAAAATTCATCTTATCTGAAAGGTAATCGCTTCCCCCCCACCCCGCAGGTGTGTGTGTTGGGGGGCGTCCATCATCTGTGTCGCCCCTCCCCCCAGCCACCAGGCTCGGAGGCATTTACTTCTGCATCATGGAAGTCTCCACACACACACACACACACACACACTAAAGTAGACCGAGTGCTAACTGCAGAGGCGTATGGCGGGGACTCCACGTCTGTGCCACTGCCTGCCTCTGGCAGCTGGGGACTCGTGGCACCTGCTGCACTTGGGAGGTGGCTTGTGCCCCAAGGGCTCGTGTGTTGGAAGTTGGTGCCCAGTGTGGGGATGTTAAGGGGCAGTGGAGACTTTAAGAGGCAGGGCCGAGTGGAAGGTCCCAGTGGGAGGGAGCCAAGAGTTAGTTCCCCTGAGAAAACTGCAAGCCTGGCCCCGCCCACCTCTCTGGGACACACACTCCCACCATGATGTCATCTTCCTTGAGGCCTCCCCCAGGGCACAAGCTGATGAGACCCCACCACCACCACCACCACCAAATTTGGACTTCAACCACTAAGACTCTAAGCTAAATAAACCCCTTTGCTTCATAGCCTGCCTCATGTATGTTGTTACAGTAAAGAAAAACAGACTAGCACCCAGTCCATTTTGCATCATCCACTCCAATCCCTGGCCTACCAGGCACCCCATCAATTCACCCATAATGCTTAGGAATGCACCTCCAAGACACAAAGAATCATTAAAAAAAAAAACCATGTTGGGGGGCACTCATGGTGTAACAGTAGGTTAAGCCACCACCTGGGACACCCCAGCGTACTGTTCCGGTTGGACTCCCAGCACTTCTGATCCAGCTCCCTGCTGATGAGCCTGGGAAGGCAGCAGATCATGGCCCTGCCACCCACCTGGGGAGACCCAGACGGAGTTCCAAACTCCTGGCTGTGGCCTGGCCCAGCCCCGGCCGTTGTGGCCATTTGGGGAGTGAACCAACAGATGGAAGACCTCTCTCTCCCTGTGCCTTTCAAGCGAATAAATACTATTAAAAAAAAAAAGCATTGCAAAAATGCCACCAAGTAAAATTAACTAATAATTCCTTGATTTCATCAACTATCTAGTCCCTCGTCCAGCGTCTCTGACCATCTCATAGATATCGGGGCAAATGTCTCCCTGCACCTGCAGTCCCCGCCTTAGTCTGTTTCCTTTTTTTTTTTTTTTTAATTATTTATTTACTTGAAAATCAGAGAGAGAGAGAGAGAGAGAGAGAGCACTCTCCCTGCCCAGACCCGGTGCCTCGCCCTTGGCCATGGATGGGGCCACATTTGCACCTCCCTGTTGGTGATGGGGTGCAGTCTCTCATGCCCTGGTTCCCGTACCCCTGATCTTCAGGCTCGAGTCCACACTCATCCCCACATCTTCAACAGTCTTATTTACTTTGGCCTCCACAGCGCCTCTGGCTGCCTCTCACCACTGCCCACCTGACTGCCCCACTCCCCCAGTCCTACTCACCCACCTGCTCGCCCTTCTCCAAACTCACCTCACTTCCTCTGACCCTGTTGCCTCACACGGCTGCTCCCACACTCTGCCTGCCCCTCAACCCCCACTCGCCCTCCAGATCTCCTCTCCCTTCCCTCTCTGACTGTCGGGATGTCAGTGCCCGGCGCCCACCGGGGGCTGCAGGTCCCAGCAGCTGGGCGCAGGCCATGCCGGGGTGTCTGGTGTTGCAGCATCAGGGAGACAGGAGCATTGCCCTACCCACCCCCCCTTTCTGTAGTGTGGCCATCCTCTTCTACCTGAGCCGCAAGTACAGTGCCCCGTCGCACTGGTACCCGCCTGACCTGCACACGCGTGCCCGTGTGGACGAGTTCATGGCCTGGCAGCACACAGCCATTCAGCAGCCCATGAGCAAGATACTCTGGGTCAAGGTAAGCGGGGATGCACCTGGCGCACAGGGACAAGGCGCAAGAGTGGGTCAGGAAGCCTCAGGTCCAGTCTCAGCCCTGCCGGCGGCTGCTGGGGAGCTCCCGCAAGTCTCACGCCCGCCCTGAGCCTCATCTCCCCCAGTTCCCTCTCCTCCCTGCCTTACGGAGCCGCTGGGCAGGAAGCACACATGTCCCTCCCTCTAATCTATGCCCGTGACAGACATCACTAATCAATCACAGGCTCCATTTTGCTGGGGCCTCAAAATCCTTCAGAACACGTGGCATCAGCCAATGTGTACCAACAGAGTGGTCCAGTACCTACACCTGGTAGACACGGATTGGAGGCCTGGAGGGACAGATGGCCCTGGGGTGCAGCCCCTTCTCTTCCCCCCTCTCCTCCATGTTGGCCAGTTGCTGATTCCCTTGATCACGGGGGAGGAGGTTCCTGCCGAGAAGATGGAGAGTGTGTTGGAAGAGGCAAACAAAAACCTGCAGCTCTTTGAGGAAAAGTTCCTGCAGAACAAGCTGTTCATCACGGGGGACCACATCTCACTGGCCGACCTGGTGGCCCTGGTGGAGATGATGCAGGTGCGGGCTGGGGCCGAGGGCGTCGGAGTCCAGTCGGGGTGGGGGGTGGGGGGACCGCCATCATGACCCATTGAGGATAAGCTGGTGCGCTGGGGTGTGGTAGACTGAGGAGGTGAAATCAACAGCAACACTGGGGGAGAGGCAGACACGGCCACCTGGGGTGCTGTGTGAGCTGGGTCTGGGTGCCTGAATTCAACCTAGGGGACAATGGGTTTATTTGTCTTTATTTATTTATTTATTTATTTGAAAGTCAGAGTTACAGAGAGAAGAGGCAGAGAGAGAGAGAGAGAGAGAGAGCGTGCTACGCCGATCCAAAGTCAGGAGCCAGGAGCTTCTTCTGGGTCTCCCACGCAGGTGCAAGGGCCCAAGGACTTGGGCCATCTTCTACTGCCTTCCCAGGCCATAGCAGGGAGCTGGATCAGAAGTGGAGCAGCCAGGTCTCGAACCAGCACCCATATGGGATGCCGGCACTTCAGGCCAGGGTGTGTGCCAGAGCACCAGCCCCATGTCTTCATTTATTTATTTATCTTCATTTATTCGAGAGGCAGAGAGATGTAGAGATGACAGATGAGAGAGATGATGATGTTGGGTAGAGATATTAGAGATGATACATAGATATGTAGATGGGTAGATAGATACAGTAGAGATGATGATGATAGATAGATGATAGATGGATGTGACAGGACAAAGCTAAGAGCCGGGAATTCAATCCAGGTCCCCCGTGTGTCTAACAGGGACCCCAGTAACTGAGCCATCTTCTGCTGCCTCCCAGGGTGTGCACTAGCAGGAAGTTGGAATTGGGAGTCGGGCCAGGACTGAAACCCAGGCACTGCAGTAGGGGACACAGACGTTTTAGGCGCGAGGACCGCCAGCCCTGGGTGTCACTCAAACTGCTGGGCAGACTGCCCGTGGGGTCGCCCTTTGCAGCTCCTGGGGCTTCATCCTGGAGGGAGATCAGCATGGGGAAGAACTGGCCTCCTCCCCTGCTCCCCGAGGGGCTGGAAGAGGGCAGGACCCACGGGAGGGTTCAGGCTGGAGACAAGGGACCCACCTGGGATGGGGGCCATCTCAAGAGGGGTTCAGGAGCAAGACTAGTGACCGAGAACGCTTGGGGACTCCAGGTCCTCTGTCCCAGCCCCATCCCGTCCATTCCAGAGCTAGGCAGGTGCCTAGCTCGTGGCAGAGGCAGGCGTGGGGGGGCGGGCCCCCAGGCTGACCACGCCCCCTTTCTCTTGGCGCACCCACAGCCCATGGGAGGCAACCACAACGTCTTCCTCAACAGCTCCAAGTTGGCCGAGTGGCGCATGCGCGTGGAGCTGACCATCGGCTCCGGTCTCTTCTGGGAGGCCCATGACCGGCTGGTGAAGCTGGCGGACTGGGACTGCTCCACGTTGGCTCCCTCGGTCAAGGAGAAGTTCATTGAGTTTCTGCAGAAGTTCAAGTGAGCCCAGAGGCGGCCCGTGCCGGCCGGCTCAGCCCGCGAAACCTCCTTTCCCGGGGGGAGATGCTAAAAACACATCCTTGTTTCTTTTACCTAATAAAGAACGATGACCACTGGCCTGGCTGATGAGTCTGGGGTCTGACAGTGGGGGCGGGGGGCGGCCAGAGGCCTCCCAGGTTCCAAGAGGAACTGGAAAACGAAAGGCCGGGATGCCCGTGAATCACATCAGAGGACCTGGGTTCAAGTCCCGGTTCCGCTCTGGATCCCTGTTCCCACTTAATAGTGGGGGCGGCGCAAGTCACTGGGTCTCTGTCACCTGCAAAGGAAACCTGGATTCCAGTCCTCCCTCTGGCTTAGCTTGACCCAGCCCCAGCCACTGTTGGCGTTCTGGGGGAGTAAGCTGGTGGTTGAGGTCTCTCTCTCTCTCTCTGTAGCTTAGCCTTCCAAATAATTTCTTTAGAAAGAAACAAAGGAAGGAAGGAAGGAGGGAGGGAGGGAGGGAAGGAAGGAAGGAAGGAAGGAAGAAAACAACGCACTTTTAATCCATGAGTGAGGGCTGATGCTGTGGTGCAGCAGGTTAAAGCCCCAGCCTGCAGTGCCGGCATCCCACATGGGCACCGGTTCAAGTCCCAGCTGCTCCTCTTCCAGTCCAGCTCTCTGCTATGGCCTGGGAAAGCAGTGGAGGATGGCCCAAGTCCTTGGGCCCCTGCACCTGCGTGGGGGACCTGGAAGAAGCTCCTGGCTCCTGGCTCCTGGCTTCAGATTGGCTCAGCTCTGGCTGTTGCGGTCATTTGGAGAGTGAACCAGTGAAATGGAAGATCTCTCTCTCTCTCTGGCTCTACCTCTCTCTGTATCTCTGTCTTTCAAATAAAATAAAAATAATTATTTAAAAAAATCCATGAGTGGAAGAAATGACAAGGAAATTAGCAAGTACCATGAACAAATGAAAATGAAAACAATGCCCCTTCCTGCCAATGTGCACTCTGGAATGCAGTGGTGATGGCTCAAACAGTTGGGTCCCTGCCACCCTCGTGGGAGACCTGGGTTGAATTCCTGGCTCCTGGTTTCAGCCTGGGCCAGCCCTGGCTTAGGTGTAGGCGTTTGGGGAAGGGAACAGCAGATGGGAGATCTCTCTCAAATACTAATAATGATAATAAAGAACAGTATCACACCACTTAACTGTGCACCCCGCACGCTGCTCGGCAGTGCAGTTCCCCAGAATGCCTGCTGGGGGCAGACTGAGAGCAAAGCGAGCCCAAGGATGTACCAGGCTAGCCGGGGCGTGTTCCATCGCTTCGCTTTGCAACAAGCTTAGAACACACACTGTCTCCACTTTCTGTGCATCGCAGGGTCTGGGCATGGCCCGTAGGGTCTTCGGCAAGACTGAGAGTGTCTGCCAGGGCTGTGTACTTCTCTGAGGCTCAGTGAGGGCAGCAACCATTTCCGGTTGTGGGACTGAGGGCTCCCACCTGCTGTCTGTGTTATCCACAGAGGGCCACCAAGCCCCACAGCCCTCCTACTGCGGTCACTTACATCAAAGCCGGCAAGGGAGCAAGTCTGCAGAGCCAGTGAGTTCACGGGTGGACGCCAGCACCAGTCAGCTCACCTGTCACCTTGGCTCACTTGGTGAAATATGTTCAATGGGGGGGGGCACTACACGGCAATGTGAACACCGTAAGGTGGGCATCGGGGCCACACTGTGGCATCCCATGTGGGTTCCGGTTCGAGTCCCGGCTGCTTCACTTCCGGGAAAGCAGCGGAGGATGGTTTAAGTGCTTGGAGGGGCACCCACGTGGGAGACCCAGAAGGAGTTTCAGGTTCCTGGTTTTGGTCTGGCCCAGCCCTGGCTGTTGTGACCATTTGGGGACTGAACCAGTGAATGGAAGACCCCCTCTCCCCCTCCCCTGCCCCGCGTAACTTTTGCCTTTCAAATAAAGGGATGGGGGGGGTCATGATGTCTCACTTTAGAATCTGCCTCTCCTTCCAAGGACAAGGGCCTCCATGGGTCTACAGCTGAGCAGGGCTCTGCAGTTGGTTTAACGCTCTGCTGTTGCCGTCTTGAGATCCATGGGGGTTGAATAAGGGGGTCCCACATTTTCATTTTTGGCCAGACCTTGCCAAGCAGTCCAGAGTAGCTATTGTGAGTGGGACTGATTATTTTTATTTTTTTTTATTTTTTTTTATTTTTTGACAGGCAGAGTGGACAGTGAGAGAGAGAGACAGAGAGAAAGGTCTTCCTTTGCCGTTGGTTCACCCTCCAATGGCCGCCGCGGCCAGCGCGCTGCGGCCGGCGCACCGCACTGATCCGATGGCAGGAGCCAGGTGCTTCTCCTGGTCTCCCATGGGGTGCAGGGCCCAAGCACTTGGGTCATCCTCCACTGCACTCCCTGGCCACAGCAGAGAGCTGGCCTGGAAGAGGGGCAACCGGGACAGAATCCGGCGCCCCGACCGGGACTAGAACCTGGTGTGCCGGCGCCGCTAGGCGGAGGATTAGCCTAGTGAGCCGCGGCGCCGGCCGGGACTGATTATTTTTAAAGATTTATTTATTTATTTGGAAGTCAGAGAGAGAAGGAAAGGCACAGAGAGAGAGAGAGAGGGAGGGAGAGAGAGAGAGGTATTCCATCCACTAGTTCACTCCCCAGTTGGCCACAACAGCCAGAGATGCACTGACCCAAAGCCAGGAACCAGCAGCTTCTTCCAGGTCTTCCCACACAGGTGCAGGGGCCCAAGGACCTGGGCCATCCTCCACTGCTTTCCCAGGCCATAGCAGAGAGCTGGACTGGCAGAGGAGCAGCTGGGACTCGAACCGGAGCCCATATAGGATGCCAGCACTGCAGATGCACTCTACAACAGACTGAACCTTAAAAACTGCGCTCAGAGAATTGAACCCGGGATGGTGACCCCTCCGCACACCTCCTCCCACACTGGGGACCGCCCCATAACCACGCCCCTCGCTCCAACCGGTCTGCAATTGGACGCGAGCACCAGCGAGCCGTCCAATGAGCGCAGCGGCCTCGGAGCGGGCGTGGCCGCCGCCCCAGTCCCAATGCAGAGACTCGAGACCCAAGACCCGAGACCCGAGACCCGAGTCGCAGGGACGCGCAGTGCTTTGCTGAGTCCGTGCCCCACGCAGCCCTCGCCATGGGCCTGGAGCTCTACCTGGACCTGCTGTCCCAGCCCTGCCGCGCCGTCTACATCTTCGCCAAGAAAAACGGGATCCCCTTCCAGCTGCGCCCCGTGGAGCTGCGCCAAGGTGGGCCGGTCCTCGGGTTTGGGGGGCACCGAGAGTCCGGGGAGGGCCTGGGAGGCAGACCTTGCCTCGGGGACCCCTCCCCGCTCCTGCGCCTCCTCTTAACTGGGCCATCGCTGGGCTGATTTGGGCACTAGTCCACGGAAGGTGAGTGCCAGAGGTTTCCCCCAAACTCTGCTTGGTTCCCCCGCCCAGATTATGAATGAGGGGGGCTCAGCTGGCGCCGAATAAAGAGGGGCAGAGGCGAGGAATAGCGGGAGGAGGGGAGACCTGGCACGTCAGCGTGGTGCCTCTTGGGCCTGAGGGAACCCCGACCCCAGACAAGAGGTGGGAGCCTTAGGAGAGGGGTCGGGGGCACCAGGCACCCAGATGGGGACAGATCTGGAGTCCCTGCTTTGTAGTCCTGGCTGCCAGGACAGAAAGCAAACCCCAGGGACTGACTTTGCAGGTCTGCCCTCTGTAACCCCTACCCAGTCTGCATCGGCGTCCCCTGCTACCCCTTCCTCTGTTCTTCCTTCTCTGCCTCTCTCTTTCATTTAAAAAGATTGTTTTATGGGGCCAGCGCCATGGCTCACTTGGTTAATCCTCTGCCTGCGGAGCCAGCATCCCATATGGGTGCCGGGTTCTAGGCCCGGCTGCTCCTCTTCCAGTCCAGCTCTCTGCTGTGGCCTGGAATGGCAGTGGAGGGTGGCCCAAGTGCTTGGGCACCTGCACCCGCATGGGAGACCAGGAGAAGCACTTGGCTCCTGGCTTCGGATCAGCACAGCGCCGGCTGTAATGGCCATTTGGGGGGGTGAACCAACAGAAGGAAGACCTTTCTCTCTCTCTCTCTCTCACTGTCTAACTCTGTCAAAAAAAAAAAAAGATTGTTATTTATTTGAAAGGCAGAGTTATAAAGAGAGAGAGAGAGATCTTCCATCCACAGGCTCATTCCCCAGATGGCCGCAACAGTCTTCCATCCAATACCCCCTTAATGGCAAGTCCACACTTGGCACTGCTCTGGCCCACGGCCTGAAATTTCATCTCTTCCCAGCCTCTCTGGGTGCTGCCCACTATCCCACTATCCTGGGGGTGTGGGACCAGGGAGAGAGGGGACAAAGGGGCATCCAGGTGGGATGCAGCTGGGGGGTGTTTCCCCAAGAGAGGAGATGAGGGCTCCCTGGTGGCAGAGCCCCCTGCAGGGAGGTCCAGGGAGGGTGGTGGGGTCCCTGCAGTGGGAGGGGAAAAGCCATATGTCTGCCTTCCAGGGCATTCTACCTGCTCTGCAGGATGATGGGGACCAAAGCGGGGAGTTGGTACCAAGTGATTAGGTCTCAGGGAAAGTTCACTTCCTTGGAGTGGAGGGGGGAGCGCTGTGGGAAATCCTAGCTCCACTCAGGGGACCTCCCCTGCAGCCCCGGACACCCTGCATGTGAACTCATGAAGCTGCCAGTGGTGGGCAGAGGAGGGGGTGGGGGTGGAGGTGTGAGGGAAGGGCCAGGCCCCACCGCGTGCACCTGGAGCTCCAGTGGAGAGCATCAGCTTGTGGGAGGGCTATGCCTGTGGGACTGGGCGAATTGGGGGGGGGGGGGGTCCATGTCTGTCTCATGCTAGCTCCTCTCCTCCCATGGCGTCCCATCCCCTGCCCCAGAGAGCAGCGTCCTGGGGCCCCACCACCGCAGGAGGTAGCCCAGGCTGCGGGGGGCTCAGGCTTCTGCCCTCACCACCCCCTGGGGTTCTTCTGTCTGCAGCCGAGCACCTCAGTGAAGCCTTCGCCCAGGTGAACCCCTTGAAGAAGGTGCCGGCCTTGAAGGATGGGGACTTCACCTTGGCTGAGAGGTACCTGGGCCCCTGGGGCCGCTGCTGGGCCCTGCTGCATGCACCCTGTCCCAGCGCTTGAGGCTACAGACACGGAAGCTGGGGTCCTCAAAGGGACAGTCCTCTTTGTCCCAGTCCCGCCCTGGGGCTGAGACCCAGGCCCCTGCCTGCTCTTCCAGTCACCAGGATAGTTGGAGAACCAAGTGCTCTGTCTACTGGCCAGAGCGTCCCTGGGAGCAGGGCACAGGCCTGGGCATGGGGAGGTGGTGGCTTCACCCAACCCGGGGCAGCTCCCTGTCCCAGCTGGTGTGGAGCCAGTCTTGTGTTTGGGCTGCCCAGGGGACCCCATCTCTGGGTGGGTCTCCCCCAGGGCTGAGCTGCCAGAGAAGTGGCTGTAGGCCCAGTAAGTTGAAAGCTCTTTAGAGAAAGCCCAACCTTCTCCCAGTTCAGCCCTTTTTGTTACCTGGCTCAGCCGTCCCATAGCCAGGGTAACCGGGGTTTATGGGTTAGAGGTCATCTCGGATCTCGCACCCCCGATGAGTTCCCCAGACACCCTGCCAGGCCCAGTCTTCCTTGTTGGTGCCTCCGTGCTGTTCTGAGGCCTTGCTACTTTTCCCTTTCTGAAAAGATTTATTTGTTTGTTTGAAAGGCAGAGTGACAGAGGGAGAGAGAGAGAGAGAGACCTTTTATCTGCTGATTCACTCCCCCAAATGCCCACAACTGCCAGGTCTGAGCCAGCCAGGCTCAAGCCAAGAGGCAGGAATTCCATCCAGGTCTCCCAACAGGTGGCAGGGGCCTAACCTAAGCACTCGGGCCGTCCCTCCACTGCCTTCCATGGTGCATTAGCACCATCCAAAGAGGAGCAGCCGGCATGTAGATTGGCACTTGGAGATGGGAGACAGGCATTGCAAACAGTGAAGCCACTGTGACATAACGCCTGCTCTGAGTCCTTGTGGCCTCCGAGGGTGGAGCCCTCACAGCTACCAGCCAGGGGCAGGGTGCAACTCCTGCAGGTCTGCCTGCGGTCCTCCTCGCGGGGGGTTTGAGCCATCAGCTGGAAGCAAAAGGAGAGCCAGGGCATCTTGCCCTGACAGCTGTGTCACTAAGCTCGGGCATGGGGTACAGGACTTTTTTTTAAGATTTATATATAATATAAATTTATATATATATATATATATTTGAAAGGCTGAGTTGCAGAGAGGCAGAGGCAGAGAGAGAGAGAGAGAGAGGTCTTCCATCCACTGGTTCACTCCCCAATTGGCCGCAATGGCCGGAGCTGTGCTGATCCTAAGCCAGGAGCCAGGAGCCTCTTCTGGGTCTCCTATGCGGGTGCAGGGGCCCAAGGACTTGGGCCATCTTCTACTGCTTTCCCAGGCCATAGCAGAGAGCTGGATCGGAAGCGGAGCAGCCAGATCTCAAATCAGTGCCCATATGGGATGCTGTCACTGCAGGTGGTGGCTTTACCCACTACACTACAGCACCAGCCTTGGTACAGGACTTTTAACAGGGAACATGGACCAGTGGCAAATACAGAAATTCGCCCACCCTTTGGGCTGGGGTGCCCAACACGTGGGACACCTTAAGTTCCAAACTGACAAATCCTCGGTCTCCTCCCAGACTCGTCCTCATCACAACAGCATGGCAGCCCCCACAGCCTAGAACAGGAAGGGAGCACCAGGGTCTTCCTCGCATCTGTGGTTCCAGGCTCCTGCAGCATCCCATGTGTTTTCTGGGCAAGGCTTGAGGGTCTAGATAGCAGCTGATTCTTGTCAAAAAGAATGACCTGACCAAGGAGGGGGTGGTGACAAGAAAGTGCCCCCACCTGGACAAGCAGGCCATCTGAGGCTGCTGTGAATGCCAGAGAGGGCAGTGGATTCAGACCAGGAAGAGCTGAGCTTCCTTCGGGCTGAGCTTGGATGCTGCCTCCTGCAGGAAGCTCTCTCTGGTTTGCTGATCAGAAGCTGCCTCTGGACCCTTTGCTCTGCTGTGGGATTCAGCCTGGTGGTAGCATGAGCTTGAGTGTTAGCCTCAGGAAGACTTTCAGCTTTGCTACCAAGGGCTGTGTGGCCTGGGGCAAGTGCTTCCACACTTCTTTAAAATGTATTTACTTATTTGAAAGGCAGACAGAGAAGCAGATCTTTCTGCTAGTTCACTACCCAAGTGCCCACCATCAGCTGAAACTGGGCCAGGCTGAAGCCAGGAGCCAGGGTCTCCCATTTGAGTGGCAGAGACTCAAGTACTTGAGCCATCGTCTGCTGCTTCCCAGGCACATCAGCAGGGAGCTGGATTGGAAGCAGAGCAGCCAGGACTTGAACCAGCACTCTGATACAGGGTGCTGGCGTAACCCCCTGCACTGTATCGCCAGGCCACTCCCCCTTCACCTTTCTAAGCCTGGCTTCCTTGTCTATGCACTGAGGCTCATACTTTGTCAGATTGTCAGGAGGATTAAAGAAGGCCCCATGTATGCAGTCCCTAGGATGATGCCCTTCCTTCTCCCACCCCGTGCCCTGTCCCCCACAGTGTGGCCATCCTGCTCTACCTGACGCACAAGTATAAGGTCCCCGACCACTGGTACCCTCAGGACCTGCAGGCCCCGGGCTCGTGTGGACGAGTACCTGGCGTGGCAGCACACTGCCCTGCGCAGAAGCTGCCTCCGGGCTCTGTGGCACAAGGTGAGGCTTGGGGAGGGCTGGGCACAGGGGCTGGAGCACTGCTGAATGCTTCCTTTCTGCCGGGATGGTTTCTGCTGACCTGTCGTTGCTGTCACTGATGCTTCTGCTGTGCCTGCAGTGCTGGTCCATCTAATGCATTCTTTAGTTTGAGATGTGCATTTTTCATTTCTAGAAATTGTTTCTTAGGGTTTCGATTTCTCCACTGAAGTTGCCATCTGTTCACACATGTTGTCCACTTTTTTCTCTGAAATTTTTTTAATGTTTTTTTAAAAGATTTATTTATTTATATGAAAGTCATAGTTACACAGAGTGGAGAGGCAGAGAGAGAGAGAGAGAGAGAGGTCTTCCATCCGCTGGTTCACTCCCCAATTGGCCACAATGGCTGGAGCTGTGCCAATCTGAAACCAGGAGCCAGGAGCTTCCTCCGGGTCTCCCACGCGGGTTGCAGGGACCCAAGGACTTGGGCCATCTTCTACTGTTTTCCCAGCCCATGGCAGAGAGCTGGATAGGAAGTGGAGCAGCCGGGTCTTAAACCTGTGCCCATATGGGATGCTGGCACTGCAGGCGGTGGCTTTATTCGCTACACCACAGTGCTGGCCCCAGCACGTTTATTATTATTATTTAAAAGTCTTTGTTGGCTAATTTCTTTTATTAAAGCTTTATTTATTTATTTGAAAGTCCAGCTTACAGAAAGAGAGAGAGAGAGAGAGAGAGAGAGAGAGAGAGCTATCTTCCATCCACTGATTCATTCCCCAGATGGCCGCAATGGCCAGGGCTGGGCCAGGCTGAAGCCAGGAGCCAGGAGCTTCTTCCAGGTCTCTCATGTAAGTAGCAAGACCCAAGCACTTGGGCATCTTCCATCACTTTCCCAGGTGCATCAGCAGGGAGCTGGATCAGAAATGGAGCAGCCAGGACTTGGAACCATCATCCATACAGGATGCAGTGTCGCAGGTGACAGCTACAATGCCACAATGCCAGCCCCTTGGTCAGCTAATTTCAACACCAGGATCTGTTCCTATTGGCTGCCCCCCACCCCCATCATAATTAGGGGTCACATTTTCCTGCTTCTTCGCATGTTTTGTAAGTTATTTTCGTGTGCTGGACATTATGTATAAAGAGGAGTCGAGATTGAAGCGTGTAATCACTACTCCCGGGAAGGGCTTGCACTTTCCCTGTCAGGCAGCCCCACTGTGAGGCTCCTGTCTTCCAGCTACTCAGAGAGAGGCTGGGTTGTGGCTTTAGCCAGAACGAGTTCATCTCTGGCTTCAAATACAGATGCTCTCCTACTTAGGATGGTTCAACCGATGCTCTTTCTCATTCTTGATGATGCAAGAGTAATACACATTCAATAGAAACTATACCTCGAATTTTGCATTCTGATTTTCTCCCTGGTTGGTGGTATGTGATACAATACTCTCTCATGATACTGGACCACAACAGAAAGTTATGTCTCCCCATGAGCCATGTGAGCACAGGAGTGAACAGTGGGGTGTTTCCAGTGTCGCTGGGTTGCTAAGCTACAATATTCAATAAGTTACCTGTACTAAATGTGTTTTTTTTTTTTTTTGACAGGCAGAGTTAGACAGTGAGAGAGAGAGAGAGAGAGGGAGACAGAAAGAGTTATAGACAGTGAGAGAGAGAGACAGAGACAAAGGTCTTCCTTCCGTTAGTTTACTCTCTTAATGGCCGCCACAGCCGGCACTGCGCCAATCTGAAGCCAGGAGCCGGGTGCTTCCTCTCAGTCTCCCATGCGGGTGCAGGAACCCAAGCACTTGGGCCATCCTCCACTGCACTCCCTGGCCACAGCAGAGAGCTGGACTGGAAGAGGAGCAACCGAGACTAGTATCTGGCACCCCAACCGGAACTAGAACCCGGGGTGCCGGCACCACAGGCAGAGGATTAGCCTAGTGAGCCACAGCACTGGCCCCTAAATGCATTTTTTACTTCCTGTAGATTCAATTTGTAATAGGTTTATTGTGACCTAACCCCATATTATGACTTGAGGAGCATCTGTATTATTAAAATTTATTTATTTGTTTGAGAGGCAGAGAGACACAGAGAGAAAGAGAAAGAGACAGATAGGACAGAGAGAGTTTCCATCCACAGGTTCACTCTACGAATGACCACAATAGCCAGGATCCAGAAACTCCATCCTCCATGTGGGTGGCAGGAGCCCAATTACTCAAGCTATCATTGCTGCCTCCCAGGGTCTGCATAAGTAGGAAGCTGGAATCAGGAGCCAGAACTTGGAATTGAACCCAGGCACCCCAAATTAATTAACTAATTTGAAAGGCAGAGATATAGAGAAAGAAGGAAATAGAGAGAGAAAAACCTTCCATTTGCTGGTTCACTGTCCAAATGACTGCAACAGCCAGTTGCAGGCTGAATTCAGCCAGAAGTTAGCAGCTTCTTCTAGGTCTCCCACATGGTACAGGGGCCCAAGTACTTGGGCCATCTTCCACTGCTCACCCAGGCGAATTAGCAGGGAGCTGGATGGGAAGTGAAGCAGCTGGGACTCGAACCAGTGCGGATATGGAATGCCAGTGCTGCAAGCAGAGGTTTAACCTTCTACGCCATAGAGCCGACCCTGGGACATGGGCAGCTTACACAATGATGACCATCATGACATTAAACATCTGCCCTGAGCAAGTGAGCCTTGAAGGTGGAATCAAGTTATTCATTTACTGCAGGAGAACTTTGGGATCTTGGACCAGAAAGCAGACATGGGGGCCTTTGCCAGTGTGGGTGGAAGGAGGGGATGGGGAGTCATTGTTTAATGGTCCAGTGGCAGTGCTATACGATGAAGACAGTTCTGGAGGTGTGGGATAGTGATCATTGCACAATGCAGGTACACTTAAGCTGTGTACACTTTGACATCTGCACTGTGAAAGTTGCCGGTGCCAGGATGGAGTCGCTTATGTCGAACTCTAGCAGAGTCAGGTCTGGGGAGGTGTGAGCAAGCGCGCTCGTGCATAAATGCCTGGGATGCACCTGTCGCAGGGCATGCTTTCGTGTGAATCAGTGAGGGATGCAACTGTCGCAGGGCATGCTTTCGTGTGAATCAGTGACAGGGCATTTGACAAGACCTTCCCCAAGAGTGCTGTCTGCTGGATAAGCAGGTGCACAAGGAAGGAAGGAGAAGAAACAAGTTTAGGAGATCTATCAGGAGGCGTGGAGTTCAGCATCACTGCAGCCAACAGCCGAGCCAGGTTGCCTGCGTCCCAGATGGGCATGCCAGGATTCAAATCCTTGCTCCACTTCTGATTCCGGCTTCCTGCTAAGGCACACTCCAGGAGGCAGAAGGTGGTGGCTCAGGTGCCTAGGCCCCCTGCTACTCATCTGGGAGACCCAGAGTGAGTTCTCTGCTCCTGGCTGCAGACTGGCTCTGGTTGTTGCAATTATCTGGGGAGTGAGCCAGCAGATGGAAGAGCTCTCTCTGTCTATGTCTCTGCCTCTGTTTGCTTTTCAAATAAAATAGATAACTAAAACTTCTTTTTTTTAATGCTGCCCTTAAGAATTCTGCTGGGGTCCAGTGTTGTGATTCAGCAGGTTAAAGCTGCAGCACCAGCATTCCATAGGGCACCAGTTCAAGTCCCAGCTGCTCCACTTCCAATCCAGCTTTCTGCTGTGGCCTGGGAAAGCAGTAGAGGATGGCTCAAGTGCTCGGGCCCCTGCACCCACGTAGGAGACCCAGAATAAGCTCCTGGATCCTGGCTTCTGCCTGGCTCAGCCCTGGCCATTGCAGACATTTGAGGAAGTGAACCAATGGATTCAAGATCTTTCTCCTCCTCCTCCTCCTCCTCTCTGTAACTCTGCCTTTGAAATAAACAAATAAAAAGAGAAAGAAATAAAGATCACCTTTACTAAACAATGCTGGGGTGGCCATGCGGATGGAGCTGCTAGCAGTACCCAGCTCCCTGCTCCATCTGTCCTAAATCAGTCCTGGAAAGCCAATGTGCATAGCTCCTGGCCACTATGACTCGGGAAAGGGCTATTTGAGGTCTGGTAGATGGACTTTACCTGGTTACCACCTCCCACAGAGAAATACAAGCATGTTTCAGCTGTTATCTGAATGTCCACCCACTGGGCTGAATCATTTCCTTGTAGGTAGGTTGCAGCTCTGGGTAACTCCCTGAAAGGATTTGGTTTAAGATTAGGCAGCACTCCAGAGAAGCCATATGCACAAGGCCCCTTGCTTAGCAACCGCTGTCTCAGCCAATAGGCTGACACTAACTCCTGAAACAAATCCTGGCGGCCTTGGGGTTTTGTAACATTTGGTTTCAAAATAGCTTCTTCTCTTCTTCTTGAACAAAGTCCCCTTTTCCCCAAGCCAGCCATAGGCTTCCTCCTCTCCAATAGGATTCTCAGTGAGCCTCAAAATATAGCTCATTTATTCTGCACAGCCTGTTTCTTTTTCATTTTTTAAAAATATTTGTTTATTGGCCGGCGCCGCGGCTCACTAGGCTAATCCTCCGCCTAGCGGTGCCGGCACACCGGGTTCTAGTCCCGGTCAGGGCGCCGGATTCTGTCCCGGTTGCCCCTCTTCCAGGCCAGCTCTCTGCTATGGCCAGGGAGTGCAGTGGAGGATGGCCCAGGTGCTTGGGCCCTGCACCCCATGGGAGACCAGGAAAAGCACCTGGCTCCTGGTTCCTGCCATCGGATCAGCGCGGTGCGCCGGCCGCAGCGCGCCGGCCAAGGCGGCCATTGGAGGGTGAACCAACGGCAAAGGAAGACCTTTCTCTCTGTCTCTCTCTCACTGTCCACTCTGCCTGTCAAAAAAAAAATTAATAAAAAAAATAAAAAAAATAAAAAAATATTTGTTTATTTATTTGAGAATCAGAGTACACAGAGGAGAGACACACACAGAGAGAGGCCTTCCATCTGCTGGTTCACTCTCTAATTGCCTGCAATGGCTGGAGCTGCGCCGATCCGAAGCCAGGAGCCAGGAGTTTCCTCCGGGTCTCCCATGTGGGTGCAGGGGCCCAAGGACTTGGGCCATC